GTCAATTGTAATATTTATAGTTTTTATTGAATAGTAAAATAATAAAAATAATATATTATATCTAAAGGTATAATTACACGTTTTAATTATATTTATACAAATAGATTTTAATTTTTTATATTTAACACTTGAATTGGGGTCTTTACAGCTGCATAGAAGGAAATCAAATCAATGAGATACAGAGAAACTCGTTTAGTATCATACGTCGCATTAATGCTTTGCTGTACGTTCAAATCACGTAACGCTCTCACAGGTCACACGAATTAAAGGCGGGCTTTGGTGTAGGTAGACAACAGAATAGCTCGTTCGATACACCTGCAGCGATCGAATTAATGCGTTCGAGAGTACGCAGCTTATGCACACGAAGATCGTGACACCAGGTTTAATCTCGTTACGCAGCTGGTGCGCACACGTGAAAGCGACTCTGTGCGTTCAGGCGAATCAGTGTGACGCGCTACCGCGAATTTTATAAGGTATTAATTGCACATGATCGCAGTGATTTATAATCGCGTAGTATTAACTAAAAGAATTTGTTTTAATTATCGCGATAAAAAGGTATCTACTACTTCATTTATTATTTAGACGTTTTCATAAATCAAAACCGCTAGCTTCCAAGAATTTTCAGTTTCGTGAAATTGAATATTTTAAAAATTATTGTTAATTACATTTTATTAATATTTAGATACACACACGCATATTTTAAAAGATTTGCTATTACATCAATACTTTTAGCAATATTTTTAACTTTGGCTAATAGCAGGAAAAAATTTTGTGTTGCTCGTCATTTTAATTTATAAGCCAATGACAGAGAAGAAACAACAAGAATTATTTGTATGACAAAAGAGCACTTTCACTCGGACGATTCGTATTATAACCGAATTGCAAAACGTCTGTCGTATAAGAAACCTTTAAAAAGGTTAATAGCCACATACATACGAGTATGTGCGTTTGTGTGGGATGTATTTTCGTTATTGAGTTATTTGTTCGAACACCCGATGTACGATCACGATGACCGCATTTCGCTTGTTGAAATGCGTCCAATATAATCAATAAGTTTTTATGAATTGCGTGGGAGGTACGATTATGCATTCACAACTTGAAATATAGCTCGTCATTTTACTGTTACCGTAATTTCACCAGAGATTTAGCTATACGATTTTATATTTATTTTAACTTTATGTGCTCAGCTTTTATAATTGTTTTATATGAATTCTTTTCCTGCAAATCTTAACTATTAGTTTTCTAATTTTATTATCAATTTTATTTAAGTAATAAAATAATTTAAATATATTATACGATACATAATCTCATGTGTTATCAATAAAATAAACATGATTTATCTCTTAGAAAGATTAAATTAACAGCATAAGTAAATAAGATTTATTATGTAAGGTTGCGTGTATGTTATTAAATAATTTATTGAGAGAGAAATTATATTAAGCCATGGAATAATCGAAATTTGCATATTTTTCAGCTTTAATAAATAAATAATAAACTGCGTAAAAAATAGTTGAAAAAAGGATTAATCTGAATGCACGTCCATTACAAACTCAAGGGAATTGCGTGCCATGGAAATTCATCGAGTAACGTTTCGCTATTTTGAGATACGCGGAGTGCCACTCTTCGCATAGAATACCAAGGCTGTTAGATCACGACTACATTTGGTCTCCGGTTTTATTTCGGGCTATTTTACGCGTTGACTGCGTTGCTCGTTCGGGCTATGCTAATTCGAAGACCCGATATGGTATTAAATCAAGACGCTACAATCGCGTATATCCAGTGTGGCATACAAAACACACATATTTACACGTGTACATACAGATGACATTTTAAACAGAAAAGGAAGAGAGAAAGAGCATAAAATCAAGAACTGTATTTATCGTTTTGTTTATTTTTTACTTAACACCGATGAGATTCCGGGAATTAGACACACGCGGAACGATCGTTTCTTTGAAAACCAGTTACATATCGCGACTACATGCATTCTGTTCCTATTGCGAGAAAAGAGATGCGGCTATTAAGCGACTAATCTTCCGCGGTTAATCTTGCGTTCTTCGGCTCGTCTTCGCTTCCGATTGTCGTCGGTCGTTATCTAATGACCTCTGATAAAGTGATTGAAAAAAAAGAGATAAAAAAAATGAAAGGAAAAGAGATCTTGAAAAGTGGAGAATCTCCTCTCGTGTGAGTGGACTTCGGTTTTTATTGAAATCATTAAACGGAGATTTTAGCTATTAGTATCATCGTGTAGTATTCACGAATGTGAATCATGGTTTTATTTAAAATTTATTATAATTATTTTAATAATAAATATATAATATGAGAAAGGGCTACGAACGTATAATAATTATTTTATATAATTTATTTAATGGTAGACATATTATTCAGAAAAATGATGTTCACCTTTGTAAGACTGTACTTTAACACCTATCCATTATTTGTTATCGTTATTATATCTTTTGCTATTCACATTAAGCTAGGTAAATACGTGCTATATATATCCAAACAAAGATTAATAGCTGTCTTCTTAGAATAGTCCACGAAGAATTTCAATTAATACCAACTACCGAAAAATAATAATTTATTTAGGGAGATATATAAAAATAACATTTTTTATTATGATATTATAATTTATAAAATTTCCCGGAGTTTTACATCGTTATCACACCGTGCGATCTAATAGCTGGTAATAAAAGTAGAGAAGGGATAGGGAGAGTACGGCAAGGCTAGACCGATCGCGAGAGAGAGAGAGAGAGAGAGAGAGAGGGGGGGAGAGGGAGAGGGAGAGGGAGAGAGGAGGATCTTCTTCCGAGCAAAATGTCAAGAAGCAGACGGTTAATTCTCAGCATTTACCGAGGCAGCAGTCTGACCCAACTATTCATTAGACAGGAGTGCAGGTTGTGTTCTCCTCTCGTGACGTTTTCCTCTCCTCCATCGCTCGATACAGGAGAGGACGTGAGGAAGAGAGAAGGCGGCGGGGAGAGAGAAATTGTGCAACTCGGCTCGATTCACTTACCACGTCTTCCACAGAAACAAGACCCTGATCGAGCTACGAACATGTTACAGCGGACGAGGCAAGCAGTACTTACACTGATCACCTTTTCGGCAACGTGAAAGGGTCTCCAACAATCGACAAGCGTTGTCTGACCTTACTAGTTGTAATTTTGATCAAGATTCGATTGTTATAAAGAGAATTGTTTTTAAAACTTTTTAACAATGATTTTGTATTCAGAGAGACTACATCTTTTAAGAAATCGTTTTGCTATCATATTATAGATAGCGTTAAAAATTTTGCAAAGTTTATCTCTATAGCAAATGGTTTGTGAAACTATGCTTATTTCCTGCTTTTAAATCATCATTGAGATATATGTTAATACTCAATATTGTAGATATTAATTCTGTATATAAATTTAAATTAAATAAAACTAGATAGGTCCATATAAAAGAAATTTTAATAATAATAACAATAATAATAATAATAAATTTTATTGAGGTGCGAAAAAATATACATGTTAGTATACATGAAAACGAATGTAATAATCTTTTCAAGATAAGAGTCATCAGCACAGTTGCTTGCAAGCCTAAACCTTAATATAATATAATATAATAACGTAAATAATACAAATACGTAAGAAAAACACGAATTTAAACATAGAATTAATTGATAAATGAAAACAGTAGTTGCCTCGACATGCATCGATATAAAGATATCTGCAAGCTAGTAATTACATGTGAAGTAAACGCAAAGATATTGAGAAAATAAAAAAGGGAAGAAAACGAAGAACGATCATCATTAAGTTTATAATAAAGTATATTAATGAATTATAAAAAATGTTATCTTTGGTAAGTACATACCAATTGCTAATGAATTGCATTTTATAGTCTAAAATATATATAATTTATCTAACACTAACAACTACGGAGGTTCATATAAACACTTTACTTGTATATTGGATTTATTTTTAGAGCTACAAAACTACTAACTTAATTCATTTTTTAAATTAATCATTTCAATTAATTGTTAATATTCCCAAGAAAAAGTTTTAATATATTATAATTTTGACTTTATTATTCTCACACATAATGTGTATCAAAATACACATAGAAGTTCTTTTTATTAAAATATATTGTTGATAGCACACATATGTAGATATCTACATATGTGTGCTACTGATGAATTTTTTATGTTGATTTTTATTATTGGCATAATTTCTTTATGATCTCGAATTTACTCTATGTTAACTTTTCTACTTTTATCTTTCATTCTGACATGACAACTTAGAAATCATTTTGACCTTGGTTCCTATTACATCATACGGATGAGAATATTTCATTCCGACAATCATTCAATTCACTCTATTACATAATAAGTATTGTACTCAAGTTGTCTGTTTTGTATTTCTGCATTAGGCTGCACTAGAATTCTCTTTCTAAAAATGTACACTAGTTCAGCCACAGAAAACAGATCCAAGAAGTGAAGATGAAAATAAAACTATCATATGCTAAAATGCAAGCAAATGTCTTAAGTATATAATTTTATCGTTTTTGTGTATTTGAAAATTTATAAAAATGTAATGCTATTTATATATATAATCGAATATATAATATTTAAATATCTAGTAATCTGTGTTTGAAAAAGTAGTTAATTGAAACGGAAAGTAGTAAATATACATATATTCAGTGCACGAAAAAATGAAATAGATTCAATAGAAATATTTATTTAGAGGATACGTCTATAGAAATATTATTTGAAATAACTTTTTTCGTAGTGAATATAAAAACGGCAAACAATATTTATTATTTACATCTCAATATATATTGAAATAAAGAACTTATTTGGCATCTTGACATTTCATGGTAAAATGAAATACTTCTATTCACTATTTTTTATTTCTTAACAGTACAAAATATAGAAAAGCAAAAGTAGAATAAAAAACACAAAAGCTATATTATTGAAATGTTTAAAAACATTAAAACTATATTATTGAAATGCTTTTTAAGGCTTAACAATCCACTACAGTAGACTTCAGCGCAGGATGCTTATCTTTTCTACGCCGAATATTTAACCAGAATCCATTTTCCGGCATTATCATGAAATCTTTAGAAAATTTTATTGGGGAAGTAGTTTTCACAGAAGGTTTCAGCTCACATCGCGCTAATAAGTGAAACAGCAAGATTTTGATTTCCAGCATAGCAAACCTATTAGCTATGCACATTCTCGGACCTAATCCGAATGGCATATACCATGAAGAACTATGCATTTTATCATCTAAAAATCTTTCTGGATCAAATTTTTCTGGATTATTATAATACTTTTCATCACGTTGGATTGCGAAATTCGGAATCCAAAAAGTCATACCCTTCTTTACGATAAAAGATTTTCCGTTCGGCAATGCGGATGGTAATTCAAAAGTTTTTTCGCATACCCTTTCTAATACGGGGATTGGTGGATATAATCTCAGAGCCTCGTTTATCACTGCATCTAAATATTCTAACTGATTAATGGCTTCATAAGACACTTCTCCGTGCGACTCCTCCAAAACCTTATCGATCTCTTGTTGTAATTTGGTTTGAACTTCTGTATTAGCTGCGATTTCATGCGCTATGAACGACATCGCGGTTGAACTGGTCTCAAAACCACCTAGAAAAAAGATGAACGCTTGCGCAGTCATATCGTCGATATCCAGTTCTCTACGATCTCCTTTGCTTCTGATATCCATCATTAATTGTAGCATATCCGGGCGTGTAATATGTTCTGCATCACGAGTAGCGATTGTGGTCTTTATAATGTCCTTGAAAAAATGCTTCACATCTTCATTCACAAACTTTATATTCAGAATTCGCCCGAGTCTCGGGAAATTTCTGACAAGGAGGAACTTTAAGGCACGAATGCCTCTGAAATTAGATGTTTTCTTGCCGTTAACATAAAACTTATTCGTGGGATCCTTCATAGAGTTGATTTTAATTCCGAAAGCACACGTGGCAATAACGTCGTTTGTATATTTAGAGAAAGCATCTTTCATGTTTATACCCTCTTCATACGATGGAAATATCGATAGAAATTTTGCGAAGTCTGTAGCACATTCTGACATCAACGTGAACATCATTTTCATCTTGCTAGACGTAAAAGAGGGACTCAACAGAGTTCTTATGTTCCGCCATTTTTCTCCCTGAAGAGAAAACAAATTTTTTTCAAATATAGAGTCATTTAAATCAGAAAAACCATTACGATTTGGAAATGACTCAAAATTCTTCACAAAGATATTCTTAATGAGTTCCGGATCGCGAAGCAAGAAGATTGGAGTTGTCGCCAAGTAGAATCCAACATACTTTGCATTTGGATTGGAATTATATATCTTGAGCAGGAGATCGACGAATGATATTCGATGAAATACAACCGATGTCATGGCTCCGAATATTGGAACAGGCGGTATGTGTACAATACCATGTCTTTTAAAGAAATTAAAATTTCTAAAAAGATAATGAATACTCATTACACCGATCACTATAGATAAAAATATTAACCAATATTCCATGTTGTTTGAAAATCTCGCTACAGTTCTTTTGTAAATCTACGTAATCTGATGTAAGACTGACTTAAGAGTGTTTGCGATATTACTGACGCGCATCATTGCAGACAACTGCTCGTATAGCTTATTCCAATGTAGTAATATATCGGTAGTCATTTTGATGTAAAAGTTTTCGAATTGATATATGATGGATCAGCTTTGGCACTTTGCTCCTTGCAAATCAGCAAGTCATTGTTATGTTTGCTACATGTTCGCATATATGCAAACACATATGTATACTTAAAATTAAATTGCTTATGTAATCTGTAGAAGATAAATGAAGATGCTTACATGATTATATTCATTTGCAAAATTGTGAATATGCAATTTAAAGATTCATATAAGATAAATTTTGTTCTTAACGTTGTTACCATAGGATTATTTTTAAATGATAGGACGCGATGTTTGGAAATACTTTTTACTAAAAATAGTATTTAACATAATATGAAATAAAATAAGCTGAAAAATAAATGACGTATCAAAATAAGTTAATTCGAGTTATTTTATAAATTATTATGTTGTATATATTTAAAGCTAATTTTATAAAAAAAAAAACGCACTAATCCCACTGAAAATATTGCATTTTTATTTGGAGTTTGTTTATATGAGAACAAAATTTTATAAAATCTTATAGTTTATAAAATAACATATATTATACATATATAAACATAAATCCCTTGTTATTTTATTTTATTTTGTACTCCTTATCCGTAAGTTTATCCATTGCATTTATTATTATTACAGTTTATTTGCGTGAAACGAATATCGTGGATAAAAGTATCAAAATTTACTTTTATTAATAACCTTATACAATATGTCATTTATATCAATTTGATGAAACTACATCGTTGGTTTTAATTTGATATCCATAATTACGTAGCTTATAATTTATTATGAATACAAACACTTAATTTTTTACTTTATCAGTATTCAAATGATAAATATATAGAATGATTGTATAATTTTTCGTAGATGTATGTATAGCTAATGAAATTCACATAGGTATGTTGCATCGAAATATAAACATATTAACTAGTCTCCAGCTGATTACGTAACACATAATGTATATCAAAATACACATAGAAGTTCTTTTTATTAAAATATATTGTTGATAGCATACATATACAGATATCTAGTTTGATCAATTTTTTTGTTGATTTTTTTATTGGCATAATTTATCTAAGATCTCGAACTTACGAATCTATATTTACTTTTCTACTTTTATTACTTCTGACATGATAACTTAGAAATCATTTTGACCTTAGTTCCCATTACATCATACAGACGAGAATATATCATTCTGATAACCATTCAATTTGCTTCATTACTTGATAAACATTGCACTCAAAAAGTGAAGTTGAAAACAAAACTGTCATATGTTAAAATGAACAAATATTTTAAGTGTAGTTCTATCATTTTTGTTATTTGAAAATTTATAAAAAAATATTGTTCATGTACATAATCGAATATATAATTTTAGTTATTCGAATACGTAATATTTAAATATCTAGTGGCCAGTCCTTCGAAAAATAATTAATTGAAATATAAAATAGTGAATACATATTTTCAGTGCACAGAAAAATGAAATAGAATCAATGGAAATATTTATTTACAGAATGTGTCAGCGCAGGATCTTTTCTGCGCTGAATATTCAACCAGAATCCATTCTCTGGCATTATCATCAGATCGTTGCAAAATTTTATTAGGGACTTAGTTTTTGAAGGTTTCAGTTCACATCGCGCTAATAAGTGAAATAGTAAGATCTTGACTTCCAGAAAAACAAATCTATTAGCTATGCATATTCTCGGTCCTAATCTGAATGGCATGTAACATGAAAAATTGTGCATCTTGTTGTCTAAAAATCTTTCTGGATTAAATTTCTCCGGATTATTGTAATATTTTTCATCTATTAATCTATTTCATATAATCAATTTAATCTATTAAAACTAGACAATAACTGGGTAGTGTTTACGCAAATTGCACAAATTTTTACCAAGAAAACTGCTTCAGTCTCTGAATAAAACTCTATCAAGTTCTTATCCATTTCCTACTCATTGTCAGTATTGATAACTAATGAGAATACAGTAATATTAGATAGTAACTGGATAGGTGTCTAGGAAAACTGCATACATTTCTACCAGGGTAACTTTATTGTTATAAGATTACTTTTAAATGATATAAAATTGTGTTTGAAACTATTTTTTTTTTTACCGAGAAATTAGTATTTAACATAATATAAAATTGAATAAGATAAAAAATAAATGTGATGTATATAAAATATGTTGCTTGGAGTTACTTTATAAATTATTACGTTATATATATAAAACTAATTTTATAAAAAAAACGCACCAATCCACTAAAAATATTCTATTTCTATTTTAAAAAATAACGAAAAGTTATATAGTTTATATGAAAATAAGGTTACATAAAATCTTAAATTTTATAAAATAGCATTATATACAAACATAAAACTCTTGTTATTTTATCTTGTCTAGTATTTTTTATCTTTATGTTTGTTCGTTGCATTTGTTCTTATCCTTGTTTGATAAAGGGGAACGAATATCGTCGATAAAGGCATCAAGATTTATGTAACAATTTTACGCAGTAGGTATATCATTTATATCAATTTGATAAAACTGCTTCGCTGGATTTAATCTGATATCTATAATTATTTCTCTCATAACGATTCTATCGTTTATGCTATATAGGATAGTCGTAAATTAATATTATTGCTTGTCCAAAAGCAAATTATTAATTCGTTTACAAATCCTTTAACAATTTACGGACGAAATCTTTCAGACTGAATGTACAATATTGTTATCATTCGACGGATAACACGACGATACTTATGGGATTTACTTAGCGTTATTTCGTTACAATTATTGAGCGGAGTTATAAATACATATCTGTCTATTTTATCCTTTGAGTGGAATAGGAGGAAAGAGCGAAAGAAAGACACGATGCAAGTACGTATGCCGTCGTCGTTGCATCCTTGAGATCCCTCGAGACAGCGTGCCGCATTTTGCAAAGGCCGAGAAATCGATGGACACAATTATATTTTAGCTGACGTTGTTACAAAAGATTTGACCAACTGACTCGCCTGATTGTTCGCTTCTTCTCGGCACTTGTCGTCGTATCATCGATCTTTTCGGCTTTCCCTCCTCTTACGCTTTCACTTCGTGTAAATTACAAACTTTTTGCGGTCATGGCCATTACTGCTATACTCCTGTACACTTTAGACTCTACATTCTTATAATTTGTGGTCGACATAAATACTTAATTTTTCACTTCATTAGTATTCAAATGATAAACATAGAGTGATTGTACAATCTTTCATAGACACAAACAGGCTTTAGATGATCCTAAAGTCATCTGTTTACCGATTGAACATAATAATTTTCGTAGAACAGTATCGCATACATTATTTTTAACGATTTAGAAATCCTTCTCCAGAATTATAGTATACATACTACACGTATCTCGGAATTTATGCTGAAAATGATAAAAATATTTTTAATTGTGATCTTTTTTTATTATTTCTTAGTCTAATATGGCGTCTTGAGCTGTCAAAGTCGCGACAACATTTGTTTAATATACATGTTTTACAATCTGTATTTACGAAATTAGAGATTACAGATTAATAAATCACACGAAGATACAACATTGAATTCCTAGAAGTAAACTTAAACGTCTAATTGAAACGCTATTGTTGTACGAAAATTTATGTAAACGTGTGCGTGCGACATTGATAACGACAAGTTATTATTGATATTTTCAACAAATAATTTCAATACATAATCTTGATTTTACTCATTATTACTACATATAGGGGAGACCGGGGCTAAGCTGGCATTCGAATTTTGAGTGGCAAAAATATATCTTATGAATTCCCAATTTATATTGTAGGTAGCATCTTGTGTGTCTTCTTTACCAACGAAGTTTGGTTAGTGTAGGTGCCACGTTGTTATGTTAGATAGTCAAACGTATTTTCGATAGTCAAAAGTAATTTTTGAGATTTTATTTTCTAAATCACATCATTTTTTGTATATATGAATGAAATGAAGTTGCAAACACTAAAATTTTTTATTGCCATCTTGTAGTCTTATAATCACTCTATAAAACACTAATAATCATTTGACTAAAATAGTTTATTTTGTTATTGAAAGTTGCAATTGAAAAAAAAGTGCCCACTTAGCTTCGGTCTCCCCCTAATATTATAATATATATTATTTATAAAGATTATAAAAATGCATAAGCAATTTTTTATTATAAATGTACATTCTTGTAAGTGGAATTTAGATTGATAAAAGTAAATCAAATAAGAAAAAGAATACTTTTTCGATCAAAATAGATTTCGATAACAGTTTTAATAATGTTTATATTTGTAAATAATATAGTGCTTGATGTCAATTATATACATACCATATATATATTTACCACAGTTGAAACTTTATAACCATATCTTTTAGTTCTATAAAGTACAATCCGACTCAACTTGTCGGACTTAAAGCACAATCGTGAATTGAAGCTAGAAATAATATAAAAAATTATATTGATCGTCAATTTTCAATAATGATGCCCAAACGAACTTTAAAACATTCCAAAGAACTGATAACTGTAATTTTTTTAGTACAACTATGTTATTATTATTTGAAATTTTTTCTCAAGCTTTTATTCACAACTATAAGATTCCAGCACAGGATGCACATCTTTCCTACGCTGAATATTCAACCAAAATCCATCCTCTGGCATTAGAAACCCATCTTTGGAAAATTTCATTGGGGTAGCAGTTTTCACAGAAGGTTTCAAATCACATCGCGCTAATAAGTGAAACAGCAATATTTTAACTTCCAGCATGGCAAACCTGTTAGCTATGCACATTCTCGGTCCTAATCCAAATGGCATATAACACCAAGAATTGTGCATTTTGTTGTCCAAAAATCTTTCTGGATCAAATTTCTCCGGATTATCGTAATACTTTTCATCATGTTGGATTGCAGACATCGGAATCCAAACAAGCATACCTTTTTTCATGATAAAAGGTTTCTTGTCCGGCAATGCGGATGGTAACTCAAAAGTTTTTTGGCATTTCCTTTCTAAGAAACCGATTGGTGGATATAATCTAAGGGTCTCATTAATCACCGCATCTAAATATTCGAGCCGATTAATGACTTCATAAGACACTTCTCCGTTTGACTCCTCTAAAGCTTTGTCGATCTCTTGTTGTAATTTCATCTGAATTTCTGGATTAGCTGCAATTTCGTGAGCTGCGAAGCACATTGCGGTTGAACTGGTCTCGAAACCACCGAGAAAAAATATGAACGCTTGCGCAGTCATGTCGTCGATGTCTAGTTCTCTACGACCTTCTTTGCCTCTGATATCCATCATTAACTGCAGCATATCCGGACGCGTAATATGTTCCGCATCACGAGTCATGATTGTAGTTTTTATAATGTCTTTGAAGAAATTCGACACATAATCGTTCAAAATTTTTATATTGAGAATTCGACTGATTCTTGGAAACGTTCCAAGAAAAAGAAACTTTATACCACGAACGACCCCTTTGAAGTTACTCGTTATCTCCTTGCCATAGATATAGAATTTATTCGTTGGATCCTTCACAGAGTTGATTTTGATTCCAAATGCACAAGTAGCGATGACGTCGTTTGTATATTTCGAGAAAACGTCTTTCGTGTTTATACTTTCTTCATTCACTGGCAACGTTGATAGAAATTTTGTAAGATCCACAGCACATTCCGACATCAATGTGAACATCATTTTCATTTTGCTGGAAGTAAAAGAGGGACTCAACAGATTTCTCACGTTCCGCCATTTTTCTCCATGAAGAGAAAACAAATTGTTCTTGAATAAAATATCATTTGTATCGGAGAAAGCTTGCCGATCTGGAAATGCTTCAAAGTTTTTAACAAGAATATTTTTAATAAGTTCTAAATCACGAATCACCAATATTGGATTCATCATGAAGTAGAATCCAAGATATTTGGAGTTTGGATCCAAATTGTATACTTTTTGGATGAAATCTATGAATGATATTCGACGAAATATAATTGATATCGTGGATCCGAATATCGGAACAGGTGATATGTGTATAATATCATGTCTTTTAAAGAGATTAAAATTTTTAAAAAGGTAGTGAATGCTGATCACACCGATTGCTATCGATAATAATATCGACCAGTATTCCATGGCACAAACAGATTTGAAAATCTCACTATAATTTTTTTGTAGACGTCTGATAAGTATGACTATCTATAGAACACTAGCGGTACTGCCGTGGCGAGTCGTAGCATGCAACTACTCGTATAGAAGTTCCTATCTCGTTTTATATACCAGTAATCGTTATGAAGTGTTGCTTTCAAGCTGCTGAATGTATGCGTTTGGGATGACGCTATCAGCGCTATTTGTGTTATTCTATCCTTGTTTTACGTCTAATGGTACAGTAAAGAGAGAATGACACAAATAGCGTTAGTATCGCTTCCTCGAACGCACATTATGTAAAATCAATCAATGTTAGTACTTTATTTGATGTAAATCAATGAATTTTTGTGTGTATGCTTTATGTTTGTATATACGTAGCACACGCACACACGTATATATATCAGCGATGCGAAGTCCCGCCCGCTTGCAGAACGGTTAATAGCATGAAAAGGGACCATAGGCGGACACAACGCATTCGCAAGTGTATTATACGGATATGGAATCATCATAGTATGTGCCTTCTTACCTACTTTCTTCATGCTATTAACCGTACTGCAAGCAGGCTGGAATGGCATCACTGATATATATAGATATCTAAAATTAAATTGCTTATGTAATTCGTAGAAGATAAATGAAGAAGTTTACATGATCATATTCAATTTGTAATTCAAAGATTGACGCATATAAATATTGTACTTAACGCTATCATTATGTGATTATTTCTAAATATAAGAAACATTGTTAAAAAAAATGTTTTACTAGAATTATCATTTGATTATATAAAATCGAATAAAATAAAAAAATAGATAGTGTATAAAAACACATTTTTTGTAGGCTTATTTTATAAGTTATCTTGTATATTTAAAACGAATTTTATCAAAAGAAAACGCACCAATCTCAACGAAAATATTCTATTTTTATTTGAAGAATGATGAAAAGTTGTACCATTTACATGAAAACGAAACGGATGCCCACATGGCGTTTCAGTCTTGGAGATGAAACTTCCATAAAATCGATAAATTTGTTTAAAATATGTTGTGAAATTTGATATTGCACCTATCGTCCTTCTCGAACTTTCCTTTCTCATCAGCAAGAAAAGTTGGAAAAATCATATTTGAAGTTTCCCAAGTTCAGCTATTATTGGCTGACTTGGAATTTATTGATTTCAGAGGTTTCATCTCCTGGGCAGAAGCCTTCATTTACAATGGATAACCTCATTTATAAAATCTAATATATTATAAAATAGCATTATATATAAACATAAGAATCTTTGTTATTACTTATTTTGTATTTCTTATCTTTACGTTTATTCGTTACATTTTCTTCTATCACTGCTTGTTGACGCAAAACCAATAGCATCGATAAAGATGTTAAGACTTACGTAATAATTTTATGCAGTATGCTATTTATCAATTTGATAAAACTGAGTCATTTTAATTTGATATTTATAATTACTTATAGTCTATATTACTTATTGTCAATACAAATTAAATTACTATTATTAATTTGTCATTACAAATGATTAATTGTTGACTTTATTGATATTCAAGTGATAAATTATGTAGAATGATTGTGCAATTTTTCGTAGACATAAAGTACATAAATGTACCAGTGGACATGACTCAATGATTGGGTAAATTGAAAAAATTTTAAATATTAAGCTTTTAGTAGTATTTTATAAATAAATGTGTTGTTTATAAGAAAAATTTAATGTTTTATACTAAATGATTTAATATTTTATATTATTTATATATTCATATTCTTTATGAATATATAATTTACGCACTAAAATCCGCGAAGGCTCATATAAACATTTTATTTACATTGGAGTTATTTTTAGAATTACAGAACTATTAACTTTTTTTTTATTAATTTTAATTAATTATTGATGTTCGCACTGAATAATTGCAATATATAATCTTGATGTTAGTATTACTACATAAAATACTGTAATATGTGTTCATGAATATATATGGATAATTTCTATTACAAACATAGTTTTTATTACAAATGCAATTTCTTTAAAATTTAGTTCTACATGATTAAATCAAATAAGAAAAAGAATACTCTTTCGGTCAAAACACATCGATAATAGTTTAAATAATGTTCATATTTTTAAATAACACAGTTTGTGTTAAATAATGTTAATATTTCCAAATTAGTACTGAAAATTTCTATACATATTAGTCTGCTCTATAAACAGCACGCCGAGGTTTGTCGGACTTAGAACACATTAATGAATTGAAGCTAGCAATAACATTATAAATTATGTCGATCGTCAATTTAATAATGTTAAAAAGTACGAGTTTGAGTACAAGAATTGTTACGATAATGCTTGTGTTCAGATCCTACCCTGCCTTAAAACACTCTAAAGAACTGATAATTCTAATTTTTTATAAAAGCTATGTTACTACTACGTATTCGAAATGTTTCCTGAGGCTTCCATTACTGTAGATTCCAATACAGGATGAATATTTCTTCTACGCTGAATATTCAACCAAAATCCATTCTCCGGCACCATTACTATCATATCTTTGCAGAATTTCATTGGTAACGTAGTTTTTACAGATGGTTTCAGTTCACATCGCGCTAATAAGTGAAAAAGCAAGACTTTGACTTCCAACATGGCAAATCTGTAAGCTATGCACATTCTCGGTCCTAATCCGAATGGCATATAACATGAAGAATTGTGCATCTTGTTGTTTAAAAATCTTTCTGGATCAAATTTCTCCGGATTATCGTAATACTTTTCATCACGATGGATTGGAAGAACCGGAATCCAAATAAGCATACCTTTTTTTAGGGTAAAAGGTTTTTCGTCCGGCAATGCGGGTGGTAACTCAAAATTTTTTTCGCATACCCTTTCTAAGGCGGCAATTGGTGGATATAATCTAAGAGCCTCACTTATCACCGCATTTAAATATTCTAGTCGATTGATAGCTTCGTAAGACACTTCTCCGTTCGATTCCTCTACAACCTTGTCGATTTCTTGTTGTAATTTCGTCTGAATTTCAGAATTAGCTGCAATTTCATGAGCTGCGTAGCACATTGTGGTTGAACTGGTCTCGAAACCGCCGAGGAAAAAGATGAACGCTTGCGCAGTCATGTCATCGATGTCTAGTTCTCTACGACCTTCTTTGCCTCTGATATCCATCATTAACTGTAGCATATCCGGACGTGTAATGTGTTCTGCGTCGCGAGTAGCGATTGTAGTTCTTATAATGTTCTTGAAGAAATCTGACACATAATCGTTTACAATTTTCAAATTGAAAATTCGCCCGAGTCTTGGAAACAATCCAAGAAAAAAGAACTTTATACCGCGAATGACCCCTCTGAAATTAGTCGCCTCCTTGCCGCAAATATAAAATTTGTTCGTTGGGTCTTTGATAGAGTTGATTTTAATTCCGAAAGCACACGTGGCGATGACATCATTCGTATATTTGGAGCATATGTCTTTCATGTCTATAGCGCCTTTATCCGCTGGTGATGTTGATAGAAATTTTGCGAAATCTACAGCACATTCGGACATCAATGTGAACATTATTTTCATCTTGTTGGAAGTAAAAGAGGGACTCAACAGATTTCTCACGTTCCGCCATTTTTCTCCGCGAAGAGAAAACAAATTTTTCTCGAATAAAGGCTCGTTAAAGTCGACGAAACCACGATGATCTGGAAATGCCTCGAAATTTTTAACAAGGACAGTTTTTATAAGTTCCACGTCACGAAGCAAGAAGATTGGGGTTGTCGTCAAGTAGAATCCAAAATACTTTGCGTTTGGATTAAAATTATAGATCTTCAGCATGAAATCGAAGATTGATATTCGACGAAATATAACCGACATTGTAGATCCAAATAATGGAACAGACGGTAAATGTATAATACCATTTCTTTTAAAAAAATTAAAATTTTTAAAAAGATAATGAATGCTGATCACACCGATCACTATCGATAAAAAAATCGACCAATATTCCATGGCATTAACAGATGTTATTTGAAAATTTTCCAACAACTTCGTAAACGTCTAATAAAATGTGACTCACTATAGATAGAGCACTAGCGATACTGCTGATACGAGTCGTTGCGTATAAATGCTTGTAACAGCAGTTCCTACGTCGTAATATACTGGCAATCGTTGTGAAGTAAATGTTTTCAAGATGGATGTGTTCAGGATGACGCTGTCTGCGTCATATGTAATTCTGTCCTTGTTTTACGTCTAATGAACGATAAAGATAGAACGACACAAATAGCGCTAGTAGCGTTTCCCCAAACGCATTTTATGTAAAGTCAGTGTTTCGCTCTTTACAAATCGATAAATCATTATTGTGCGAGTTGCATGTTTGCGCATATTACAGTAAACACAATGTTCCATGTATATTTCATGTAACATTGTGTTTACTGGGATGTAACACTCATATACACACACATACGTATATATATATATATATATATATATTAAAGATTAAAGTATATATGTAATCTTTACAAAATTAATGAAGAAGCTTACACGATCATATTAAATGTGCAATTTAAAGACTGAAGCATATTTCTATATACATTCTTTATTTAATGCTGTTTTATTATAGAATTATTTCTGAAAGATATACGAAATGTGTGTAATTGAAAATATTTTTTACTGAAATTAGCATCTGTTAATCGATCGAATAAGATAAAAAATAAGTAAAGTATAAAAGTATGTTGCTTCTAATTTACTTTGCAAATTATTACATTGTATATATTGAATATCAATTTTACAAAAAAAATGCATCCATTCCATTGGAAATATTTCGTTTTAATTTGACAAATAATGAAAAGTTATTCAGTTTGTATAAGAATAAAATTTTATAAGATCTTATATTTTATGAGAAGAGAGAGGAGAATATCATTATATCATGTATAGATATAAGACATTGTTATCATATTTTATCTTATAATTCTTATCTTTATGTTTGTTTGTTGCATTTATTTTCATTATTTTTTGTTAATCTGAAATGAATAACAGGATTCAATTTGAAATCTCAAATGATTATTTTTATTATTTATTGGTGATACAAATTAATACTTAATCGTTGACTTCATCACTATTGAAGTGACAAATTATGTGGAATGATTGCGCAATTTCATAGACGTATATAGAGCTAATGGAATTCACGTAGGTATGTATATTGCATCAAATTATAAGTACGTATGAATTAGTCGTCTCTCTCTCAGCAGATTATGTATAAATACGTAAAGTATGTTAATAAAATACAAAAAAATCAATTTATTAAAATATAATATGTTGTTGACGGCACACATATGTGGGCATCTATTATCGTCAGTAGTTTTTAATGATTTTTATAAGTTGTATAATCTCATCATAGTCTTATAATTTACAATTTTGTGATTTTCACTTTATTATGTTTGTCTTTGAGATGATGATGATGATGAGAAGGAGAGAAAGATTCTATCATAAATTAGAAATCATTTTGACATTGGTACCCATTATACTGATAAGAATATGTCATTCTAACAATCATTCACAATTCACTCGATTACTTACAATTAGTAAGCATTGTCCTCTAGAA